AGCAAACCCCTGATTTGGAATTTGTCTTTGTTAGTTAAAAAATTGAAACTTCCAACCAACATAAATGGTCGGGATAAGATCCAAATAACAGGGTGGGGTATGGAGGTGATCTGGACTAGGGTGTAAACACATGCCCATGTTCAAGATGGTCCCTTTTCTTCCTAACGTATTCATTAAGAGGGTATTTGGTACTATGAATATATCGTGGGTAGGACCATTTTGATTCTATCGTGTTTTGTTTTGTGTGGGTGGTCCCCATCTACAAAATAGTATGAACAGGGATAGGTTTATCTTAACTTATCCTTTATAGTATATTTTTTGTAGATGGGCCACATTATGGCATAGACAATTTCTGGAAAGGATTCGGTGTAATACACTTGTGCTACATTGGTCCAACTACCTTCATTTTATTTAATTATTTAACATATTTTTTAATCTTTTAACATATTCAATAATATGTTTTAATTAATATATTTAATGATTTTTTAAATATTAAACCATTTTAATTAATTTATTACCATTTTTTGTTAATCAAAATGGTTTTGTATTATTATACAAATTCATATTATATATATATATATATATTTATCTTATATTTATTTGTAATTATGTATTGGTGTTTTATTGTATCCATTATTATTTTATATTATTATTTCATATTATTTTTAACTTAAATTATGATATTTTTTTTTCATTCATGATCAATTGTGTAAATTATCCACACCATGCCTATAGAATACTCTTGTGGGTGTAGAGAGTTTTTGCCCACAATTTAGAACAATTGTAAATAGTGGTGTGGTGTGGATTGATCCCTATTAGAAGGTATGGTGTGAATTAGTCTATACCCATCAATTTCTCATCCACATTACAAAACACCCCCTAAATTGGTAATAAAATTGAAAGGGTTGAAGGCCCTATATGAGATCTAAAAATTACCTACAACCAATGTTTTAAAAGGCTAAAGGTGTAGTTGAGCTATAGTGGTCCAAATAGGTGAGGCATAAGCCTCAAAAATTAAGAAAAAAATAATTAAAATTTATAAATGATAAAAATCACATGTAATATACCAAATTAGAATGATGAAAGGTACAAATATCCATAAAATATAAGTTTATAAGCAATAAACTTTAACTTTTAAGCATTAAATAAAATAACAATTAATCATCTACCAATATAAGCATTTTACATTTTAATATTTTTATGTTTCAAAATGCAATCTTAGAAATTATTCATATGAAGAATCATTTATATAATGGGCATTAGATTTACGGTCATCCAACAATTAGGAAGAAAAGAAACAATGTAGTTGATTTGATCTATGCAAAAAAAAAAATCAATAACAAAAAGTAAATCCATTAGGAAAAAAATGAAAAAAAAAAACAAATTTGGGATGTTAAATTAGATTATTAAGAAAACAAATTCCACTTGATTTATCTAAGGGAAACTAATAACTTGATTGACCCTTTTATTACATTGAACTCTCTTAGGGTAAAATACTAATATAAACTAATAGAACTTGATTTTCCCTATCAGTTTTTCATTTTTACTCTTTTTTATTTGGCCCATAATTATTAAAGTGATTTTTCTATATATCTTGAACTATAACAAATATATAAAAATATGTATTTTTTGCATGAAATCACTAAATAATGTTGATATTTGAGGCTTACGCCTTTTTACACCTCATGTTACGTCTCACGCCTTGAGACTTGAGGCTTAAGCCTCAAACCAAAGTTGTGAGGCTTAAACTTTGAGGTAAAATCTGAACACCTCGCCTCATGCTTCAAAGCTTAAGCCTTTTAAAACAATGCCTACAAGGAACTTAATTCCAGAGTTGGATAGATATGAATGCAAGATGGGAATTGAATGAAGCCACATGATATTACAACTTTCTACTTCTGCTACTATCTCCTCTACTAATTGATAGACAAGGGTAGTTGTTGTCAAGGCTCAAGATCAAAATCTGAACACTTCTGCATGAGCACACCAACACGTGTTGAACACGTCACCAGTAATGGCTTAACAGGTAGACTAACGAGAACTAGCGGAGTTATCCCGTTGATGGTTGTTTCATTGGTTGGAACATCTCTCAATGATGTATTAGAACCGATGATGTCATCATCGGGAGATGTTCTCAATTCACGGTAGGGATGTGCTGTGGGGCGTTGTAGGGCGGCCCCTTGTGGGGTGAAGATTTGAACTCGGCCAGATCATCTCAATTCACGGTAGGGATGTGCTGTGGGGCATTGTAGGGCGGCCCCTTGTGGGGTGAGGATTTGAACTCGACCAAATCACCGACGTTTGATGAAGTTATTCTAGCAAAAACCAACAAACTTCCGGCGGCAACAACAAAAAATTAGACACTCTAATGCTAGAGCTGGTTTCATTTAGTATCTACTTTTCTCAACTTGATTAGGAGACTAATGGTGCTGATTTGAAGCTTTAGTCATTTCAGAGTAGAGGTTCCTTCCGATTTGAAGCTTCGGTTGTTTGAGAGCGGAAGGAGGTAGGGTACCTTTGGTTTATAAATCATTCAAAAGCAAAAGAAAAAATAATAATAATGATTATAAGAGCTCAATTTATAGGGAAAGAAGAAGCGATAGGAGGAATCGAGGCTGATCTAATCCGATGATCAACAATGGAGGGCATGACTGTGGGCAAGGGGATTTGCCATTAAAGTTGCAGCAGTGGTAACGTCGTTGGAGGAAATAGGGGATGGTGGAAAGAGAAAGAAAGAAAGAGAGGGAATAATTATGAGAGAGAGGGAGAGAGAATGAAAGAGAGGAAATTGATATGAAAGAGGAGAGAGAGAGATTGGAGAGGAGGGAGATCTGTAGTTGTTGTTATACCTCTATTTAGTGTTGTTGTCGAGAAGAAGAAGAAGAAGAAGGGAGAATTCGTTTTTCACTAGAATGACATTGTCAGATGTCGGTTGCCCTATATACATCATCGATGATCTGATTTGGCTAGAGTTTAGATGAATTTTCGTTCATTTGGGATTTTCGTTCATTTGGATATGAATTATTTTTTTTTTTTTTTTTTGTCTTTTAGTGACTGGTCCAGCCAATGAACGACTGTTAACAGAGGATAACTCCATTAGTTCCCGTTAGATTGTTTGATAAGCCATTAGTGGTAACGTGTTCAACACGTATTGGTGGGTTCACACTTTCTGTGAATGTAAACCCACGGGTTTCACAAAATGTGAACTCGAGACCCATTGGAGTCTGGATTCAGTGGACCCTTGAGTTTACGGGAAGAGTGCACCCTCCAATAGGAGGCATGCACGTCACCCACTTCAAACTTATCTTAACGTTAACGGGCTTTCAGGCATTAGTCAATTGAATCCGGTTGAACCGGACAAAAACAAGACAAAAAAGGCAAAAAAAATCATTCTTTTGAATTATTTGGGATTTGGGAGTTCATTTCCCTCCCATTTTCTCCTCCAAGCCCTAACCCAGAAGCAAACCATCGGCGATTTCATTGTACCGCCGATGCCCGTGAGCGTGAAGTAGACCGGTGGTCATTAGTCATCAGAACGAAGGTCCACCAAGGAAATGGGTACTCTTGCTAATTAGATCCAGTCTCAGAGTTTTGTACTGCATTGGCTGGCTTACCATCATGATCTTGTACAACAGAAACAGCCTCAAGCAAAGTTTCATTTATTCGGGGTTGCCTTCATGAATGCAATATCTGGGTAAACTCTATGAAAGATCATGATTCATGTCTGTTACACTGAGTTATCATCTTTGCCATGGCTTTGTTGTGTGCTGGTGGCAACAGCCACTTGTTCCTTCATGGTTTGATTATCTTCTTCAATGTCTACAGTCCAATACTTACCGGCCGGCGTGGATCACATAAATGAAATTATCTTTTTTATTGGTACTTTTGTGGCATCACTTCTTGGGTTACTGGTAGTACAGAGGGCCATAGTGAAATATGGTAGGGCCTCCATTGTATTCTCAGTCTGTACAGTTATGGCTATAAGTCTGTTCTGATTACTAGCTTTGGAGCCTTTGGATTTCATGGAGTATAAATCCATTGTTTGATTTTGTTGGGGATTTGAATGAAGCTGCCTCCCCCCCCCCCCCTACTTTCTCTCTTCTCTGTCTCTAGATTCTACTCTTGTTCCTATGCCCTGTTCCTATTTTCTCAATAAGTTATAAATATGTTAGCTCTATGAGGTTTCTTTGTATTTACACTACCATAATGAATTTGTGTGTAAGTTAAATGCCTACAATGCAACTTGTAACGCACTAATGCTTCAAAAAAATAATAATAATAATACCCCTTATTATAAGATTTGGCTAATCATAAAACATATCTTCTCTGTACATATCGGGGTATATCAGACTGAATGGTCATGGCCCAATGCCGATATAATCGGCCTCCTACGAAGATTCAAAATCATTTGTGAGGGTGTTACCCATGTTCAAGAAAAAATGCCAATTGATAAAATACAACTGGAAACTTCATTCTGCACTTGCAGACATGGTGTAATGGAAAACCATGGGTTTGACCATGATACCCGAAAAACTTACATCCAATTGATAACTAGTAAAGTAGTATTCATTAAAATGAGAGCATTCAATTGATAACTAGTAATGAGTTTCTCCGGAAAATGAGAGCATATCGTGCATGACAGTCCACAAATGATGAGGCAATGATCTAACATGACCAATGGCCAAGTGAAAATCGGGACCAATACAAAGTATTCATTCATCCTGTCATATGCTGCACAACAATGTCTATAGGACCTGTGCAAAAAATGGTTCTACCAAGTTTTGAATGTTAACTGTTAACATTCAACTTGGGCTCAAATATTACAGGTGGCCTATCCAGAAAACAAGCTTCCATCTGAGCAGTTTTGTCTGCCTCTTGGCGTTCAGACAACACCACGCATGGGACAATAAAATTAACCCAAGGAACAGAATGATTCTGAAATGAGCAACAATAGCATATGTAGATTAAACATCTAATGAATAACATTGATGTGCCAAACACACACAGACGAGAATCCAAAATAAATTACTTGGATCCGATTTTACAAATGAGCAACAATACCGGGTTAACAAAATTACAAAATTCCGAATGTTTTTAACCCATCTAATCTTGTTATTTCTGATTTCCAACTAAAATGAAGTCAACAAGGAAATTTTCCAAAAAAAAAAGATCAAAGACACTGAACATTTCTTTAGGAACATTAAGGCTAATCTATCACCAAGATCTTCCAGCTTAAGCAACCGGGGGGCAGAGAACATGATCTTGTGAGGCACCAATTGCAGCAGGGGGCATGAATTGCCACATGGCAATTCTAGGGTACCCAATGAATGGCACTAGCTTGTTTCCAGTAGCTTGGCCTTGTTTCCAGTACCCAGTATCTTGAACAGGTCGGCAGACAGAACTCTGCAATTGGAAAAGCAATGGTGTTAAACTTCCATAGAGAATGTGGAGCAACATCTAATGGAACTTCCTCCAAAAACTAAACTTCAGTAATGAAAATAGGTAAGGAAACACAAAATATAGCTCAGACTAACCTTCAACTCTTTGCACTTCTGTAAACAAACTAATGCATTGCTTGGTTTAATGTGGTAAAGCATACCTACCAAAATTAAGCACGGCCAAAGCAGTACTGATCTTCATGACAGGAAACTAGCACGTCTTGGGAAACCACCAATTTCTTGTAAGGAGCTAGCTTGAATTTCATAATCAAGAGTCAAGACTCAAGAGACCTGTAGCTTATATCAGTCACAATAGTTTTAGAAAATCATTTAAAAAAATCAAGCAACATGACACTGATGTAACTTCAAGTGCATTCACAGTGGGGGTGGGGGAAGTAATGTCCGTGATGTACCACTTTGGATAGAAGCTCCTCATGGACGTCGGTTGGTGTTGGTCGCCGATGATCTGGTAACAGGGTAGGGTTCGAATGATACGGTGGAGAGAGTACCTGTTCCCCTAGTGGACCTTCGTTCTGATGGCTGATGACCGTCGATGTCGGAATAACGAGATGAGAGAATTCGAAGAAGAAGAAGAAGAAGACAAGCATACTTATCACCAATTGATTTCTTGCTACCGGTGTACTTCACACTCACGAACGTCAGCTGTACAGTGAAATCGCCGATAGTTTGATTCTAGGTTAGGGCTAGGAAAAAATGGGAGGGAGTTGAAATGATCTCCCAAATAATTCAAAAGAATTTTTCTATCCGGTTCAATCGGATTCAATTGACTAACGCCCAAAAGCTTGTTAACGTTAAGATGAGTTTGAAGTGAGTAACGTGCATGCCTCCTATTGGAGGGTGCACGCTTCCCGTGAACCCAAGGGTCCACTGAATCCGGACTCGACCCATTGCAACTTTGAGCAAATGGCCTTGTAGTTGGATTTAGGTATAGTGGTGGGATGGGATTTACCAAAATTAATTATTCCCAACTATCCTAGCAATGCCAAGAGCCAGGCCCTGCCCTGACCTCAACCGAACCTTGACCCAAGACCAGATCTCCTTCACTTATTTTTCTTGTACTTCCTAGCTAAGTTAATTAGTAACATTGAAATGGGTATGATAAAGTCAATTAGTCTCATCTCCATGGAGTTCACATCAGCCCCCCACAAGGGGGGCACCCCACGATGTTCCACAATACATCTCAGCTAGACATATTCATGGGTCGAGTAGCCTGATGGCCCGGCTTAATCCGATCTAATTGAGGTTTGGACAAGATTTTAGGCCCATGGATTCATGCTTAGGCCTAAAACATTGAGCTTGACCTTTTTTTGGATCGGGCTTGGGCTTTTTTAAAAAAGTCGGGCCCGAGCCTGAGTCTGACTTGATAATGTATTATATAATAAAAATATATTTTATAATATATATATATATATATGTAATAATTTTTCTTTATTATTCTTCATTTTCAAGTAATAGTGAGATCTTTCATTATTTTTTTCAAGTTTTAAGGTTTTTTAATATAAATAAAATAGTCTTTAATTTAATAAAAAAGAAAAAAAACTTTTTTCCAAATTTCTAGTCGGGCTCGGGCTCGAGCTTTGTGCTTTATATGAGGGCCGGGCTCGGGCTCGAGCTTTGTGCTTTATATGAGGGCCGGGCTCGGGCCTAAACATATTTTGTTAATGTAAATTTAAAGTCTGGCCTGGCCCGACTCGTGAACAAGTCTATCATGTATTAGGAACATCTCTAAATGATAAGTACAAGAAATGATGAGGCATCATCGGGAGATGTTCCCAATACATGACTGGGATGTGATGTGGGACATTGTGGGGCACCCCCGTAGGGGCTGATGTGAACTCCCATGTGTTTTGTTCCGTGGACATTTTGTGATAAGCGTTTATCAAAATACTACAATGTCATCGCCAAATCAACATTTTTCTCATCATGTTCATCCGTACGCATTGATATTCAAAAAAAGTGGGTTTTTTATTTATGTGCGCACTAATCGTTGGGGGAAATTTCATTTTAACGCTTCCTCCAATGGTTAAACATTTATTCACTGTTCCGCTGATATAGCGCCTAGTTGCCAATAAATGGTTTATTAAGTACTTTTCTTGGTTTTGAAGACAAATCAAGTACAAACGTTTATTTAAACGGAAGCTATACCAAATACATACCTCATCTTTATGAGTCTTTACACATACCTATAATCAAACACTTGCCCAATTTTCTAGTATTTGTTTAGGCTTGGTTTGGAAGGAGTATAAATACAAATATGTAGAATGCAAAATCTTTTATTTTGTATGCATTTGCACTGTACATATTTGTATTTGTATCTTTTTCAAACTGAGCCTTAGGCTATGTTTGGTTACAGTGCAATTTTATTTGCACTAGTATAAATGCATGGGAGTGCAAATGAAAAAAAATACAAATTTTTATTTAATTTTGTTTTGGGTTTTACTTTATTCGGATTCATGTCTTAATTTACTTTATTTGTATGCATCAAACAAAATAAGCTAAAATTTGAAACAAAAATAGGTCAAAATTTACACTCAAATCATTTGCATTCCCATAATTTTGCATCAGTGCAAATTTATTTGCATTGCAATCAAATACATCCTTGAGAAAAAACAATTTCTGTACTCAGAATCAAGATTTTGAACTTCATTTTGAAGAGAGTATAGATTTCAACCTTCAAAACAACCAAAACAAGAGTATGGAGTCAAAATTTACACTCAAATCATTTGCATTCCCATAATTTATATTAGATGCAAACTAGCATATGCATTTGACAGTTTGTTTGGCCAAGTGGCCCTTTTAAAATTAAATCAGCCGCAAAAGGATAAGTATATTTTTGTTGATATGTACTTTTATTTTTAAATTTTATTTTGGCATGTAAGTTGCTTCACAATTAAAGAAAATTTCAGTGCCCTCTTAAACAGGTGTTTAGGGAGAGCCGGGATCTGCTCCTCATAAATGGGCGCCTCACAGGTGCAGTTACGTGCATTGGAAACATCTCCAGTGGATAATAACTAATAAGTACTGGAGATGCTCCTAATAGGTATGTGCGTTGCGTGTGAGGCACTTGTAAGGATCAGGTGTGACAAGTTCTCATTTTCTTATCTCCCACCACCTGTCACCTTCTTGCACCTCAACCGTCCCAACTCCCAAGTTTCAATCTTCTCTCAATTCATGGGGTCGTCGAGCTGGGGCTGCGATTAAGTTCACTTGCGTCAGGGTTGGGGTTGGCACCCAACTAGGCTGAATACACTTATCGGGCAGAATGGTTTAATTTTGCTCATACAAGTCATGCCACGCATAGATTTTTTATCTATTTACTCATGGTTTTTAAAAACGAACCAGTGATCGAATCGGTCAGGGGTCTGATTATTGATTCGAACAGTCTGATCGTCCGGTCCATTCTGACAAAAAAAAGAAATTAGAAAATGGTCAAAACCGTTCAAACGATTAATTAGTCGGTTCAGCGGTTTATTGACCAAAATCAACAGTTTTGGGGGGAAAAGCGGGTTTGGAGAAAAACGGAATGACCAGTTCTCAATTTTTCCGGTCTGACCGCCTGGTCCAGTCCGGTTTTGAAAACCATGCTTTTACTACAAAAGCTTTTCGTTACATGGAGGGCTATGCTTGTGCGGTTCTAAACATTTGTCGAACAGGAGGTCCTTCGGACTGGTTTAACATTTCTTGTTTTCTGTAAATTTTTAACTAAAATATTTTGTAATCATAATATAATTATTAAGTAACATAATCCCTGTTGCAGGGTTGAACCAGGTTTTTTAGGCTATATTTGCTTTGAAGGAAAATGTAGAGAAAAGGAGAAAAAGGTAGGGAAACTTTTACAATCCTTCTATTGATTTTTTTTTTTTATTTTTCTCTTCCTTTTTCTACCTTTTCCTTCAAACCAAACATAACCTTAGGTCAATATAAGCCAACCCTAAAACTCGAATCTTAATTATAAGCCCTGTTCAACTCGATCTTAAAGCCCAAGTTTGCCAATACATACCAGTTCGATCTGGTTCTAAAGAGAGATTGGTAGCATAATCGTAATGGTTTTTTGAGTGGATCAAATGATCCCACTATCTACACCTACTGGATTTACTAAGGGTGATTATTCTTGGCCCAGTCTGGTAGTCCGTAAATTTTTGGGTTTGGGCATAGGTTTAAGAATTAAATGAGTTCCATGCCTATTTTTGTGTGTAAGCCCAAAATTTAGTTAAGCCCAATTTAATTTGAACTTCTGCCATATTTGTTTTACATATATTACATTTTATTTAATTTAAAAATTTTAAACTTTTATTATTGAATGTCATAGGCCAAAACTCATTATTCATTAGGTTCAGAAATCTTGTAAACCCGGAACAGGCCTGTGTGGGGTTGGGCTTGGCTAATAGGCCCAAGATGCGGACCAGGCCAGGCCTAAATCTAGATTAAAACCCTTATCATTATTTCTAAACCCGGCCTAGGCCACCCTAGGATTTACCCTTATAAGTCTCAATTCCTCCAAAAGGTAAAACGAAGTCAGATGATTAGAACTACTTAATCACAACATATTTATATTTACCATGGTATTTAAAACCAGACCGGAAAAACTGGGAACCGGTTAGATCCGTTTTATTTCAAAACTGTTATTTTGCCAAAAAATATTGATTTGATCAGTAAACCACTAATTTGGGCAGTCAAACTATTCAAACCATTCAATAATTTTAGCCATTTTTATTTATTTATTATTTTTTATCAAAATAAGTCATTCATTCAATTCAAACGATCAGACCATTTGACCCAATAACCATTGTTCGGTTCAATTTTAAAAACCTTGATATTTACCTTCATCCTATCATACATTGAAAATATCTCTTGTATTTTATATCATCGGTATTATCTATATGTGGCTAAAGGACCATAAACAGATTTCTCATTAAACGGTGAAAGCATACGGGAACAATTGACTAATCACCGGTGAACATCCACACTGTTCCATACACATGAAGCCCATTAAACCACATTAAACCACCTTTACAGGCTTGAGCTTTATGCATAATCATAGAAGCCACATGGTATCTTTAATATTAATATTAATAATAATATTTAAAAAGGCAAAAGAAAAAAAATCAAGGGATGTGAAAGTCACGAACTTTCCTTTCAACTTTAATTACCATGTTTAATAGTTTGACGCCACTTGCACGCTAAAGATAGTCAAGTTAATTAAATGCTTTCCATGACAAACGACTCTCAATCCTACAGTAGAGTCTTCATATTCTGCACGATTGTTTGACGCAGTAAAAGGGAACTCACTGGACTGATTTCTTCTAGTTTCTAGCTGACCTTGTTTCGATGCCCTTTACCGCGCAAATAAGCACCTTCCACCGTGTCCTTGTGCCCTGACTGCCCTCGGAGTGTCATTACCAGTGTCATAGGTAGGGGTAGCTTGGTCATTCGAGCTCGGTTCACTAAAACTGTGTTAAGTTTGAGTTCGAGCTTAGCTCAGTTTAAAGTTCGGAAGTTTGAGTTCAGCTCCAGTTTAACTATAAGTCCCGTCTTTTTTTTTCTAAAAAAAAAGTATATATATATATATATAAAATATTTTTTTATATTACATATAAAAATTAAGAATTATAAAAATTATTTATTATTATATATATAAAAAATAAAAATATACATAAATAATGTTTTTATTTTACAAACAAAAAAAATAAGAATTATAAAAATTATTTATCATTATACATAAAAAAATATTAT